TTAAAATAAGCCTATTTTACACAAGAAATCTATTGTAAAAAATACTTTTTATAGGGAAAAATTAAAAATCCACTATTTGAGCACAATATTTTTCCTAATGAAAAAAAGCATTTATACAAATGACTTAATACTAGTTCCTTCTTGAATACCACATGTAAATGTTTGACGCTAGGTTTTTTTTTACACTAAGAGTGTAAATTTTCTTAAGAGTCACTTTTGGACGTATGCAGTTATGAATGATTATGATGATTACTGCTTTTTTGAAGCTCATGTTCATGATGTGGATAACTTTAATATCTTTGAATCGTATCTTATAATATTGAGGAAGCTAAAGTGACACTAGAAATTATCTACATTTCCTGTTTTATTCTTTTCATTAACTGAATGAAGTTTCCCTGGACATTAAACATTTTCTCTTGAAAATTAGCTGTAGAATTTTGGCAGTTGTTTAATCCATAATGGTTGTGATCTATGAACTATTGGAAACAATATTTCCTAAATTCAAAACTTGAGCTCTTCTGAGATTTGGAAGTTCACATTGCCTTTAATTGCATTGCCTGGCATAGAAAAGACAAATGTCTGTGTACTCAACAACTTTTTACATCAAAGCCAAAACATTGTGTCATCTTTAACACATTTTAAGATATAATTAACAATCCAAATACAAACTAAGATTCAGCTTCGTGAGGTGTTACCTTTGTGAATAAATCAACTCTAGTGACAAGCCAGTAGTCTGAAATGAATACAGGAAGTAGGCAATGCTCATTTGCATATCTTTCCATATCTTTGACAAACACATCTCAAATATAAATTATAATTTTTTAAAATTTTTAATAAATTGTTAGCGTTTTATTTATTTCTGAGAGAGAGAGAGAGAGACAGACAGACAGACAGAGAGAGGGGAGGGTCATAGAGAGAGGGGGAGAGAGAGAGAGAGGGAGATACAGACTCTGAAGACAGGCTCCAGGCTCTGAGCTGTCAGCACAGAGCCCGATGTGGGGCTCGAACCCACGAACCATGAGATCAAGACCTGAGCCGAAGTTGGATGCTTAACTGACTGAGCCATCCAGGTGCCCCTCAAGTATAAATTTTATAAGGACAGGGACTTTCTCTCTCATTTTATTCACAGTACCTGGAACAGTGGTCACCATGTAAGGTTGTAAATGTTGTGTACTACACAAGGTTGCAGAGGATAAGAATGAAAGGGCTGAAATCTAGCCCATGACCACTCACAAGTCAAACTTCAGAGGGGATATTTTTCCTGCAAAGGAGGCATCTCTTATAACTTCCATAAAGGTGTTAAATAGAATCATCTATGTCAGGGGCACCTGGGTGGCTTAGTCGGTTAAGCGTCCGACTTTCGCTTAGGTCATGATCTCACGGTTCGTGGGTTCGAGCCCCGCGTCGGGCTCTGTGCTGACTGCCGGCTCAGAGCCTGGAGCCTGTTTCAGAGTCTGTGACTCCCTCTCNTTCCAAGGAGGTTAAATAGGTAACAAGTTGCAGAAAACTAAAAAGACATTTTCTATTTATTCCATAATTTTGAAGATCATGAGATCAAAGGGTATGGCTATTTGTTCTAAGCATGCGTAATAATCTAAGCATGGGTGGCTTAGTCGGTTTAAGCGTCCGACTTTCGCTTAGGTCATGATCTCACGGTTCATGGGTTCAAGCCCTGCGTCGGGCTCTGTGCTGACTGCCAGCTCAGAACCTGGAGCCTGTTTCAGAGTCTGTGACTCCCTCTCTCTCTGACCCTCCCCTGCTCATGCTGTCTCTCTCTCTCTCTCTCCTAGAAATAAATAAAAACATTAAAAAAATTAAAAAAAAAAAAGAATCATCTATGTCATTGCTATAACAGTGATGTTTTTAGTAGGAGCTCAGTAACATTTATGATTGATACATGGAGAAATCCCTTCTGTGTTGCTAAGCTCACTCAAGTAGTACACCTGCATTACAGGGAAGCTTCTACATGGTAGCCAGTGAGTGCATTTGCCCATCATTACTTGAATTTCAGATATTTTTATATTGAAATGAAAAACGCAAATACCAAAGAATATCTTAGGATAGGAGAATCTTTGTCTTTTGTATACAAATTAATTTATACAATCTTTTTACCTCATTTATTCCCTCTACTTCTGTGATGTGAAAAGCAAAAACAAAACATCTATACATAGCGAATTTTGAGTGCAGTGGGACCGGATAGTGTGAAGGAAAGCCAGCCATAGGAACTATTTAGGCATATTATAATGATAGAAAAGATACTTTGAGAGCATCAAGGAGTTAGAAATGAGCTATAAGCTGGTTTCATAGAGGCCCTCTCTTTCGATTATGTGGAAGACCCCCCTTACTCTCTGTGCATATGTTTCATTTGCCTCTTTGCAGGTGGGATCCCTCCTCTTTCTCACTATTGCTGCTCCCCAGCGATTTTGTCCTACTATGACTTAGGTTTCCTGTGGTAAAGACATGAGTTTCATTTCTAAATGACTTCTAAGCTGGTGTGTTATCACAGTCTCTGTATCTTTTAGTTAAACTTCTTGAGAAGATCTGTTCTGCCTTACCCCCTAGTGAATGTCCAGCCACTGTATGTGGGCAAGAAAGGGCCCGGGGCAGAGGTGGGGAGGTGCAAGATGTTCATGGGGTCAGCCATGTTGGACCCCAAGAAAAGGGCCAGAGGTGCAGCCGACAGTCAACATTTGTACTAGAATCAGTTTTTCTAGCAACTTTCTACATTATTTCTAATTTTAAATGTGCCTGTTTTAATATTTTGTAAATCAAGACTTAGAAAGTGGTGGTATTCTCTTTGGGGATTTTACTATTACTTCTTCATCTTCGTGGTCCTCTAAGAAATTAAGGTTTTTTTTTTCCCCATTATAAATGTGAGCAACAGACCTCAGTAATATCAACAGTTCCTGTGACTTTGCCACCAGTAGAGAGAGCAGATGATTTTATATCACATTCTAGTCATTGTATGTATTTTTTTTTTTACAAATAGTTTATTGTCAAATTAGTTTCCACATAACAC